TAATGGATTTTAAAATGATTTGGGCTTAAAAATTAAAATTATGAAATAATCTAATTTATTCAATTAATTTGCTAATTTGTATAGGAAAAAAATAAAATAATTTAATTAATTCAATATAAAAAATAAAAAAATTATTTAGTTTCGGTTCTTGTTCGGTTCTTCGGTTCTTGGTCTAGACCCGAGACCCGACCCAAACCCATCGGTTCTCGATTCGGGTACCCGTTTGGGTATTTAATTTATGAAGAACCGCTCGGTTCGGTTCGGTTCGGTCCGGTTCGGTTCGGGACTTTTGGACACCCCTAGAAAATTATACCAGTCAAACACAATTAATTGATAATTCCCAATAAAACAAATTTTGGGTAATTCAATTCCCTGCAATTCGTTTTTTTTATACCCAAATTCCATCTTTGAATGAAACGGACCTTAAATAAGACTCTTATTCTTAATTTAGAGACGAGTTGATCAATTAATGACAAATTATACATATCAAGGAGGAAGTTAGAAATGGACTAAATTTCTTTTACTGGACTAATGTATACAAAATCTTTTACCAGGTAAAAAAAGATATTCTAAATTCGTCCATGTCTAGACTGGTACTTAATATCAGTAGTGCTAAATAGCGTTACTCATAATTTCATTTCTTACATAAAACTTCGTTTTAAGTTGAGTGAAGAATATTTCAATATTTTTTCAAAACGTTTAAACTTTTAGATAAAATATCCATTGCTTTATTCATAACTAGTTTTAGCCCGTGCGANTTTGCTAATTTGTATAGGAAAAAAATAAAATAATTTAATTAATTCAATATAAAAAATAAAAAAATTATTTAGTTTCGGTTCTTGTTCGGTTCTTCGGTTCTTGGTCTAGACCCGAGACCCGACCCAAACCCATCGGTTCTCGATTCGGGTACCCGTTTGGGTATTTAATTTATGAAGAACCGCTCGGTTCGGTTCGGTTCGGTCCGGTTCGGTTCGGGACTTTTGGACACCCCTAGAAAATTATACCAGTCAAACACAATTAATTGATAATTCCCAATAAAACAAATTTTGGGTAATTCAATTCCCTGCAATTCGTTTTTTTTATACCCAAATTCCATCTTTGAATGAAACGGACCTTAAATAAGACTCTTATTCTTAATTTAGAGACGAGTTGATCAATTAATGACAAATTATACATATCAAGGAGGAAGTTAGAAATGGACTAAATTTCTTTTACTGGACTAATGTATACAAAATCTTTTACCAGGTAAAAAAAGATATTCTAAATTCGTCCATGTCTAGACTGGTACTTAATATCAGTAGTGCTAAATAGCGTTACTCATAATTTCATTTCTTACATAAAACTTCGTTTTAAGTTGAGTGAAGAATATTTCAATATTTTTTCAAAACGTTTAAACTTTTAGATAAAATATCCATTGCTTTATTCATAACTAGTTTTAGCCCGTGCGATGCACGGGTTTTGTGATTTTTAAGGTTATGTTAGCGTTGTATATAAATTCAATAAAAAATTGGTTATTTTATTTTCCATTAGATGTTATACATTTAGCAAAATTTTATGCATATAAAACTTATAACTATTGGAAAAAATATATAGTATAATTAAGTACAGAAACAGATACAGCCCCGAAAAGTATATGTTTGTAAGTGTGAAAATGCTCTTGTATACAGAGAGACTTACAGTTGCAGACTCAAACTAAAATAATATCATGCAGATTTAAGCGTAAATATAAATATAATAAAAAATATTTGTCTTAAACATTAGTTATATTAAACTTAAAACACTTGAAATGATGATGGATGAAAAAAATAATATTAAGAGATTTGATTCAAAACTTATTTTTTATTCTTTGTGTTTGAAGGCCTCTCTATTCTTTTTTAAAAAAAGACAAGACATAGATGATTAA